AAACATGTCAAAGAATTTCCAGATATTGATCTCAGAGACATTGACAGCTACTGCCATCTTCCTAGCTTGCCTTTGAAAATACACCAGTATTGCTCATTTTCACAAATTATTCACCTGATGGAAGAAAGCAGACATTTATGAAAATATGTATTACTTACAAAGAGGCCTCTATGAAAAATCCAATAAATAGTGTATATGTTAGATGTATAGAGAACATTTATGTTTATAAGGTACAGATATTATCTAACAATAACCATGTCCATCTTTTGAAGTGCTTTTTTTCTTTTATATTAATCTACTTGTATTTGAAGATGATGAACATTTTAATAAAAATGATTTGAAAAAGAGTCATGCTTCTCACAAAGACTGTAGAGAGTGAAGTTAATATTTTGTCCTGTTTCCTAAAATCATGTCATGTTACATTGTATTTTTACAAGTTAAGCTTACTTTAAGTTGTTAGGGGTATTTTAGAAACTAATGCCAGCATATCTCAGAAGCAGAGTGTTATGAGAGTCTTTAGGGCATATTAGTGCTGGCTAGCATAGTTTTGCAGGTGGCAGTGACAATTATTAAAAGTATGGCTAGTAAGAACTTTGACAGTAATGTTTTACATCATGTCTTCATAATATTTGTGTCAATATAGTTAACAGAACAGCAGCTGGTCTGTCTATTATGTAGAGACACATGGTTTGAAGGCAACATACTTTTTTATTTTTTTGTTAATTGCTGCAGATTCAAAGTACATATATATGAAAAACAGATAATTGAAAACACACTGACCTCAGTTAACCCCTTCAGGACGGGTGATGGACGAGGTCCGTCACAGAGGGGAGACCCTTAACGACGGGTGACGGACCTCGTCCATCACGCGGTAAAATTAACCCCGGATCGCCGCTATCTCGGCGATTGCGGGGTTAATGGTGCTCCGGTATGCCTCTGCATTAGAGGCATACCGGGAGCACCCGGTCAGGCTGCCCAGCACATGTGCTCGCTCTGACCGCAAGTCAGAACGAGCACATGTGCTCTGTATACTCACCTACCGGCTCCCTGCACTTCCGGGTTCTGTGTGAAGTGCAGGGAGCCTGAACAGTGATGATCCTGCCCCCTGCTGTTAAAAAAAATAAAGTTAATTTAAAGTGTCCCCCCCTTTACCCATTTTAATAAAAAATTAACCCATTCCCTGCCAATTGATCACTAACTACAGTGATCAATTGGCAGGGATTACATTTTACTATGATCTGATTTGTTCTTTTTTTAACCCCTGAGGGTTAATTCTTTTTTTTTTTTTAACCCACAGGGGTTAAATTAATTAAATTAATTAATTTAATTATTTTTAAATTATATATTTAGATAGCTGGGGTGGGTGGAAGTTAGTGGGGAATTGGGGGATTTGGCGTTAGGCTAAGTTTTAAAAGAAACTTTAAAAAGTTAAAAATTAAGCTTAAAAAAATGTTTTAATAACATTTAAGTAAAAAAAAAAAAAAAACACACTTTACCTAGTCCAAATAAAAATTAACCCCTTCCCTGCCAGTCGAACACTGCCTACAGCGATCAAATAGAGATCACAGTACTATACAGTACTGTGATCTAATTTTTTTTAACCCCTGAGGATTAACTTTTATTTATTTTTTAACCCTCAGGGGTTCAATTTATTTAATTAATTAATTTAAATATTTTATAACTATATATTTTGCTAGCTGGGGTGGGTGGGAGTTATGGGAAAATGGGGAATTTACTGTTAGTGCTGCGTACTGCTAGTTAGGGGTTAACGGTAAAAAAAAAAGCTTAGAAAAATGTTAAATCTGTAAAAAAGTTTTAAGAAAGTTTAGGAAAGTTTAAAAAAAATTTATAAGCAAAACAAAAGTTTAAAAACTAGTTTTTACAAGTAAAAAAGTTATATAAAGTAAAAAAATACATTTTAAAAACGCTCATTACCACTACATCTGGAACAAACTAGAGAAAAAATTATCCCACACCAAGGTTCAAAATATGCCTTTTGAATTACCCCAGGGTGTATTCTTTAATAAATAGTATGTGTTTGTGGGGAAGTTTCAATAACCAACCGTCTAAACTACTCCAAATTGGAACATGGACACAGCGTAAAACTTCAACATCCACATATACCTGGCAAAGGTACATACGGGGGTATTGCTGTACTCAGCCGACATAGCTGAGCAACATATGAAGTATTATACAGTCATAGCACACATAAGGTTTGCAAAATATGCTGCGCAAACTCACTTTGAATGTCAAAAAGGCAGAAAAAACTTTTATTACCACTACATCTGGTACAAGCTAGCGGAAAAATGATCCCATGCTAAGGTTCAAACTATACCTTTTGAAACACCCTGGGGTGTCTACTTTAAGAAATGGTAGGCCTTTGTGGGGTAGTTTGAATTTAAAACCTGCGAAGATGCTTGGAAATTGCACATAGGCCCAGCGTCAAAATTCAAAGTTTGGTAAAAACGGATATGGCTTGGTCTCCTATATGGCACTGTAGCTTCACAAAATAGTGACAAAGACATTCATTGGGGTGTATTTTTACTCAAAAGACTTAGCTGAGCATAATTTGGGAGGTTTGAACTTAGTGGCACATATGAAATATACAAAACGCCCAGCAAAAATGCAATCCGTATGTAAAAAATGCACAAAATTATTTTTTACCACATACTTTGGCATATATTGGTGAAAAAATGGGGGCATGTTAAGGCACAATATGCACCTTATAAGATACCCTGGAGTGTCTACTTTTACAAATGGTAGGTCTTTGTGGGGTTTTTTTGAACAGTCAAACTGTTATAATACCCCAAATGGAAGCTAAGGCTCATTAAATTCATCTCTCAAAATTCTACTGTGAATACTGAAAAGGACAGGTATCCTGTATGGCACTGTAACTTCACGAAATAGTGCAAAAGACATACAATGGGGGTGTCATTTTACTCAGCAGATGTAACTGAACACAAAATAAAACTTTGTACAGGAATAGCACACACCAACTTTACAAAATATACACGAGAATTTCTCTGTTATAAGTTTGTGTGCCAAAAACCAAAAAGAACACAATTTTACTCCAATATTTAGCAGAGGTTGGCGGTGAAATGGCTACGTAGAAAGTGTCAAAACAACCTTAGGTAAATAGCCCGTGATGTCTACTTTATATAAATATATACTTTTGTGTGGCAATTTTGTTTTCTTTTATGGCTATTAAGCTTACAAGACAAACATACCAAATTCTAAAATCGCTCCACATTAAAAGTTTATTTTACTCCTTGTGCTTTGTGACCTGTAACTACCAAAAAAAACTTAAAATCCCAGACACATTATATATTCTGTAAATCAGAACAAATAAATAAATTTATTTTTAATTACTTTCCTTAACCTGCACTAATTATGCACACATTATTATTGCAAAAACTGTAAAAAAAAACAATATTTTTCATTTTATTTGCATTTTTCTGTATTTTTTTTATAATAAGTAAGCATTTATATATATATATATATATGTTATATCAAATTAAAGCCCTTTCTGTCCTTTAAAAAACAGTATATAATATGTGTCGGTGCAATAAATGAGAGAGATGCAAATTGCAGTTGAACGCAAACAGCAAGAAAATGCAAAAATTGCTTGTGTCATTAAGCGTAAGTCAAGCTTCTGAAGCTGTGTCCTTAAGGGGTTAAGTTCCTTCTCATACAGTGACTATTGTTGACTATTGACTATTGTATATATTACATTTTCATCTGTTTAGAAAAATATCCTAGAAATACAAATTCCTCTGTATGATCCTTGAATCAACTGCCGTAGAAAGTATACATTCTTCTCACTGCTCATTGCTGAAATTTGTATGATTTCACAATTACATAGAAAATTGTTAGCATAGTTCTTCCAGACAATGTCAACAGTGCATCTTGGGATGTTGTGGAGCCTTTAGATTTTTTGTGTTACTATTATCATTATTATTCTGTTATTATTATATAGCGCCCAAAATTCTGCAGCACTTTACAGTGGGTGGACGAACAAACGTGTAGTTATAACCAGACAAGTTGGACACACAGGAACAGAGGGGTTGAGGGCCCTGCTCAATGAGCTTACATGCTAGAGGGAGTGGGGTAAAGTGACACAAAAGGTACGGATAGTATTAGACTAATGACAGTTGCAAAAGAGGAATCAGTCAGGAGCTATTAACAGTTTAATTGATACGCTTTTATGAAGAAGTGGATTTTTCATGATTTTTTTGAAGGAGTGGTGATTGGGTGAGCATCTAACGGAGGAGGGAAGTAAGTTCCACAGGAACGGTGCAACCCTCGAGATGTCTTGAAGGCGAGCATCAGAGGTAGGAGTATGGACAGAAGATAGACATAAGTCTTCAGCAGAGCGTAAGGGCCTAGACGGGGCATACTTGTGTATTAGGGAGGATAGATAGGTGGGAGCAGCATTATGTAGAGATTTGAAAGCAAGAACCAGAATTTTAATTTGAGCCCTATAACTCAAAGGAAGCCAATGTAGGGACTGACAGAAGGGTGAGGCGTGCCCTTTCTGTTTCTCATCCGGGGTATTGACATTCAGATCCCATTACCATCCCCATCACTACCTTGCATCTTGTTGTAGTATTTTTTTTAATTTTTTTTATTTTTAACAGTCTGTATCTAAAGCTGTTAGCTAGTAAGACTATGATGTTAGTAAGTTGTCAAAACATCAAATAAATTATTGTTCCCACCTGCCTGTATACATATAATTATTGTTTATGGCTTACCTCTATGCATAGTTTTTACCAAATCAAAAGAATTATAGAAACTATTTGGAGTCATTCAAAAAACAGCCATAGTCAATTGTAGGCTTTTTAAACAAACAGAAGGATGGGACTGCGCCAATAAACAAAATAAAAAAGTCCTAGTTAGGATATTGAAATAGAGTCCAGTGTAATGAAACTTGGTCTTATGTTGGTCTCTGAAGTTGTGTCTTCCCCAGGTGCCACTCACTAGGGGGTGCCAGGTGCGAACTTTCACAGGGGCGGCATGTTCTGAGAGTATCCACACGATTTCCCATCCAGCAGCAGCAGGTCCTCTGTTCTCGCGATCCGCGAGAGCGTTGCCGGGGGTTGCCGTAGAGCAACGCTCTCGTGGACCGTGAGAAAAGAGGACCCTGCTGCTGCTGCTGTTGGATGGGAAACGAGCATGCAGAGTTCTGGGCCCTTCTTCACTGCCCATCTATGCGGTGCCACCGGACCACCAGTCAGAGGACGAGCAGGTAAGTGGCAGCACTTATTCAAACAACATACACACTGCATCTGCATACACTATACACACACGTCATACACTATACACACACTGCACACTGCATACACTATACACACACTGCATACACTATATACACACTGCATACACTATACACACACTGCACACTTCATGCACTATACACACACTGCATACACTGTATAAACACTGCATACACTATATACACACTTCATGCACTATGCACACTGCATACACTATATACACTGCATACACTATATACATTGCATACACTATACACACACTTCATACACTATACACACACTGCGCACTTCATGCACTATACACACACTGCATACACTGTATACACACTGCATACACTATATACACACTTCATGCACTATGCACACTGCATACACTATATACACTGCATACACTATACACACACTTCATACACTATACACACACTGCACACTTCATACACTATACACACACTGCATACAGTATATACACACTGCATACACTATACACACTGCATACACTATATACACACTGCATACACTATACACACTGCATACACTATATACACACAGCACACTTCATGCACTATACACACACTGCACACTTCATACACTATATACACACTGCATATACTATACACACACTTCATACACTATACACACACTGCATGCACTATACACACACTGCATACACTATATACACACACTGCATACACTATACACAAGCTGCATACACTATACATACAAGCTGCATACACTATACACACACTGCATACATTATACACACACTGCATACACTACACAGACTGCATCCACTATACAAGTGCAAACACTGCATCTACTTCGCAAACACACTGCATTCACTACCAGGGCCGGACTGGGAAGAAAATTCGGCCCGGGCATTTTTTAATTACAGCGGCCCACTAAAAAGGGGGCAGGGCCAGATAGGGTGTGTTTTGTCATCACCAATGGCAAGCACGCCCCATCACAAAGTGAGCATGTTGGTTCAATGCTCTTCCAGGGTAGACCATGCGCAGAGCTCTGCTGAAGAGCTCTGGCATGAGAAAAATACCCTGTATTTGTTCTGCACTGCGCAAGCAAATTTAATAACATGCTTGGACTGTGTTTGCTTGAAATTTGTCCCTGGTGTCTCCATAGTTGGGATACCAGGAGACAAAAATGCCAGGAAAGCATATTGCGCAGTGTGTGCGAGGGTGCTCTGTGTGCGTGCATGTGTGTGTAAGGGGTGTAGGGTGTGTGAGAGAGGGGTGCAGTGTGTGTGTGTGAGTAATGGGTGCTGTGTTTGCATGAGGGTGCTATGTGGGTAAGGGTGTGTGATGGGTGCAGTGAGTGGGTGCTGTGTTTGCGTGAGGGTGATATGTGCATGTGAGGAAGTTGTGTGTGAGGGTGCAGTGTATGCAAGTGAGGAAGCTGTGAGTGTCAGGGGTGCAGTGTGTGTGAGTGAGGGTGCTGTGAGTTTCAGGGGTGCAGTGTGTGTGTGTGTGATGTGCATGTCAGGGATGCAGTGTGTGTGTGAGGGTGCTGTGAGTGTCAGGGGTGCAGTGTGTGTGATGTGAGTGTTAGGGGTGCAGTGTGTGTGTGTGTGTGAGGGTGCTGTGAGTGTCAGGGGTGCAGTGTGTGTGCTGTGTGTTTCAGGGGTGCAGTGTGGGTGTGTGTGAAGGTGCTGTGAGTGTCAGGGGTGCAGTGTGTGTGCTGTGAGTGTTAGGGGTGCAGTGTGTGTGTGTAAAGGTGCTGTGAGTGTCAGGGGTGCAGTGTGTGTGTTGTAAGTGTTAGGGGTGCAGTGTGTGTGTGTGTGTGTGTGTGAGGGTGCTGTGAGTGTCAGGGGTGCAGTGTGTGTGCTGTGCGTGTCAGGGGTGCAGTGTGTGTGTGTGTGGGTATGGGGTTTTGGTGTGTGTGTGTTGTGAGTGTCAGGAGATTTTGGTGTGTGTGTGTGTTGTGAGTGTCAGGTGTTTTTGAGATGTGTGTGCTGTGAGTATTTGTGAGGGTTACAGTGTGTGTGTGTGAGTGTCAGGGTGCAGTGTGTGTGTGTGAGGGTGCTGTGAGTGTTAGGGGTGCATTTTGTGTGTGCTGTGAGTATCCGGGGTGCAGTGTGTGTGTGTGTGTGTGCTGTGAATGTCAGGGGTGCATTTTGTGTGTGCTGTGAGTGTCAGACGTGCAGTGTGTGTGTGAGGGTGCTGTGAGTGTCAGGGGTGCAGTGTGTGTGCTGTGTGTGTCGGGGGTGCAGTGTGTGTATGTGAGGGTGCTGTGGTGGTGTTTGTAGGAAGGGGTGCAGTGTGTGTGTGCTGTGAGTGTCAGGCAGTGTGTGTGTGGGTGGCTGGGTGTCAGGTCAGGGGTGCAGTGTGGGTGCTGTGAGTGTTAGGGGTGCATTTTGTGTGTGCTGTGAGTGTCAGGGGTGCAGTGTGTGTGTGTGAGGGTGCTGTGAGAGTCAGGGGTGCAGTGTGTGTGCTGTGAGTGTTAGGGGTGCATTTTGTGTGTGCTGTGAGTGTCAGGGGTGCAGTGTGTGTGTGTGTGTGTGTGCTGTGAGTGTTAGGGGTGCAGTGTGTGTGCTGTGAGTGTTAGGGGTGCAGGGTATCTGTGAGTAAGTGAGGCTGCTGTGACATGAGTGATTATATCCCCCCTCCCTGCTTACCTTTAGCCTGGGAGGGGGGATCCTGCTGCTGGGACTGCCATCCATCCCTGGTGATCCTAGTGGTGAGTAAACTCTAGCCTGTTGGGCTAGAGTTCACTCTCGCGAGACCCGGAGCGTTGCCATGGCGACGCTCCAAATCTCGCGAGAAGAACCCGGCGGAGCTGTAAGTTAAAGCTCCGCTGGGTTCCTCTGCTGGCAGGCTGGCTCCCTCCCTCTATCCCCGCCGGCGGCCGGAATATACTCTATGTGGGCCGGTGAGGGAGATCTTTTGAGATCCTGTGATCTCCCTGCCGGCCTCGGCCCACGGCCACCACGGCCCACAGGGCGTTTGCCGATGGCCAGTCCGTGCCTGTTCACTACGCAAACACACACTTATACATGTGTATCTGTATGTGCATCTGTGTGTTTGTGTATCTGTTTGCGTGTCTGTGTTTGTTTCGGTGTGTCTGTGTATCTGTATGTATGTGTCTATCTGTATGTGTGCCTGTGTGTCTCTCTCTGTATGTGTGTTTGTATCTGTATGTGTGTCTGTATCTGTGTATGACTGTGTTTCTATATAACTGCATGTGTGTACCTATGTGTCTGTGTATCTGTATGTGTATCTGTTTGTGTGTTTGTGTGTTTGTGTATCTGTTTGTGTGCCTGTGTTTGTTTTGGTGTGTCTGTGTATCTTTATGTATGTGTCTACCTGTATGTGTGCCTGTGTGTCTCTCTCTGTATGTGTGTTTGTATCTGTATGTGTATCTGTATCTGTGTATGACTGTGTTTCTATATAACTGCATGTGTGTACCTGTGTGTCTGTGTATCTGTGCCAGTGTATGTATATCTGAGTATATGTGAATACACCTCAGCATTTCGTCTACACAAATACAACCCTGCATCCAAATGTCAACACAACATAAAAACACACCACCATCAAAAACCACTCTACAGAAAAATGCACACTTCCATTCCAACGCCAATATGTGCAAACACATCCGTACAGTCATTCACACATACTCCATACAAAAACATGCTTACATTAATAATATACAAACACTGCTCAGTGGCAAATACATTTTAAAAAATTGCAGTTGTTTTTTACATTTCAAAGTTGTGAGGGGCGTGCCAAAATACTCCAGGTACGCCCCTGATTAGACCCATATACAATATTAACCTTCATAACTAATGGACATAGTGTTACCTTTCTGGATCCATTGATTTATTTCACGGAACAGAGATCATACATGTATTGCATTTCTAGACGTAATCGTAAAAAAAATAATCTACTGCTATATCCCAGTGAACATCCAACCTATTTAAAAATAAATGTACATTATAGTCAGTTTCTCTGATGTACATTAGAGTCACTATTCTCTAAGAGAATAGTGTCATAGTCAACTATATCTGAAACATTGTTGCATGAGATGCCCAATAAATTAATAATCATTAGCTTTGGCAGAACAAGCCTTGAGCAAAGATATTCAAAGACATGATCATATAATAAACAAGAATAAAAACAAATAATAAGAAGAAATATACTTTATAGCCGCCTGCATTTGTACAAAAAATGAAATGAACAAAATAATACTGAAAAACTGGTGTATATATCAATAAGATTCTCACCTTCTGCATAAAGTTATTTTAACTCTACATTTCTTGAAAGATAACTCATCCTAAATTTACCATAGATCGCAATATTTGTAACAGTGTCATTGAGCATTCTATACTTATTTATAATCCTTAGATATTATATTTTTAAAATTTGGGATTTTATTTTCCAGAGATAGTAAATTTAAGGATATAATTGATATGTATGTGGACAGGTTGTTGATCCAAGGAGAAATCTGATTGCTATTACGGTGTTGAGAAGGATTTTTTCCCTTTTTGTGGTATACCTACAAATGGCTACAATTGTTTGTTTTTTCGTTCGTTTGTGTCGATAGCATTAAAGAATGGGCATCAAAGATGAACTTGATGGACTTAAGTATTTTTTTCACCTTAGATTACTATGTAACTTTGTAACTATGTAACTCTACACTAGTGATGTCCCGAATGGTTCGCTGGCGAATAGTTCCTGGCGAACATAGCGTGTTCGCGTTCGCCACAGACGGTGAACATATGCGATGTTCGGTCCTCCCCCTATTAATTTACTAATACTAAGTAAAAATTACTTAGTATTAGTAAATTGTGCCCCTACTCGCAATACCGCGAGTAGGGGCATGTCTATTAAACAGTGAGCAGCCTGTTTAAGAAAAGGGACCCACCAATCAG